CTGCTCTAAACACAGGGCTTTCTTACTGTATTCTTCATATTTTAGAATATTGGTACTAACCAACTTCCTCCCAAGATGGCTCTTTTAGATATTTGAATGAGTTGTTCTCATATCTCATCCAAGAATTTACTAAAATACAATTTATCAGAGACTGCCCCTGAACTCTCATATTTAAATTCCTCTTCCCACCTCACTTGCAGATCAGTCTACATGCATAATTGTAGATTTTTTGTCTTTTTCTCATCTTTAAAGTTTTCTTATCTATGCCTCATTTAACAGCAGATATTTTTAGCAACCTATTTTATTGAATTCCTTCAAAACATTCAAATTAATTTTATAGAAACAAAATCTCTTTTATACTGATAAAACCACTACCTTATATAATGTTTTATTAAATCTCATAATTATAACAAAAGATGCAATTGGTATAAATGCTTTGGAAATAAATACTTGATGCTTGCAAAAGCTGAAATTTAACTGGTTTCCAGTTAAGTGTGCATTTTATTTTAGAGTAGTGTACCAGATTCAGCATACAGACTATTCTAGATATCAATTAGAATATTTTAAAGGAAGTCTATTAACTGTCTAGGGAATTGATCAAGTAGATCTCAGTGAAAAGTTTGATTTGTAATTTAAAACAAATAAATTTAGCTTGCTTATATAAAAAAGTTCTTCTAGATTATTCTTTTATTGTTGGACTAGTTCATTTTGAAAATAAGCTATATAACTATCCATATTAGAAATTTTACTGTAAGTTAATTTCCAAGAGTGGGAATGACCACTGCAGAATTGCTGCCTAACATATATTGTAAAAAATATATCTAATGAGAAAATTCCGGGAATGGATAATAGTGATGTTTGCACAACATGTAGACATACTGAATTCCACTGAATTATACACTTAAAAATGGTAAATTTTGTTATTTATATTTTACCACAATAAAAGAAAATGAAAATAAAATGTATCTACACTTGTATTCTTTTAGTGTAAATAAAACCTGTGACAATATTACCATGCAGTATAGAAGAAAAAGCGGAATTTGGGGTATTAGAAGACTCGTATTTATATAACACAGTAGTGCCCCCTTATCCATGGTTTCACTTGCACAGTTTCAGTTACCTGAGGTCTACCACAGTCCAAAAATATTAAATAGAAAATCTGGAATTTAGCAATGTGTAAGTTTTAAACTGTGTGCTGTTCAGCATAATGAAATCTGCACCATCACACACCATCCTGCCCAGGACGTGAATCACCCATTTGTCCAGTGTCTCCATGCTGTATGTATATGTGCTACCCACTCTCAGTTACCAGATTGGTTATCAGATGTTTTGAGAGAGAGAGAGACCATGCTCACATAACTTTTATTACAGTATATTGTTATAATTGTTCTATTTTATAATTAGTTGTTGTTTTTAATATGTTACTGTGCCTAATTTATAAATTAAACTTTATCATAGGTGTGTCTGTATAGGTAAAACAAAAACATGGTAGATAGAGGATTTGGTACTACCAGTGCTTTTAGGCATCCACTGGGGTCTTGAGAGGTATCCTACAATGATGGGGTGTGGGAGGACTCCTGTACTAGCTCTACCATGATTGAGTTGGATCAATTTTGGCAAATCTTTTACATTTTCTTAGCTGTAGTTGTCTTATGTTTCATATGAATGTGCTGACTCTTCTCAACTCTCATGAGTTTTATGAGGAACAAGCGAGTTTATTTATATAAAAGTCTTTTATAAACTCTAAAGCAGTTTATAAATTTTAGGTAGAATTTTGCATATTTTCAGAACTAATTATTGATATTGCTTATAAGATTTTGGCTTGAGGCATTTGCTCTTGAGGTTTTAAAGATGTTTAAATTGCTTATTTAACTTTTTTTGTTTTTCTTTGTGAAAATGCAGCTTTTTTTTTTTTCAGGATGTAATTAATGAATTAAGAATGAAAACGTTTAGCTTGTATTTGGAGAGTTCCACTTCTTACTGGCATTATTAAGTTTTCTGGTTTTTATTATTAATATCTTAGCTTAACAGGTCCTCTTTGTAACATCTGCCAAGAGAGCCTCCTAAGCTGAGATAGATAACTTTGCTTTTCCTTTCTTATTTGAAGTCAGTGAATTAAAAAGTTATCCAAAAAAAAGTTTATACATAGGACAGAGAATGGCAGATTGGGTGAGGTACAATGATGAGGTCATAAATCAGATTTAAGTTATAGAAACTTATTTATTTAAAGTGCCTTTGTGGTTGCTTACCTTAAGTGAACTAAATTTTTTTTTCCCTCTGAATCAGAAAACAGTGAGTTGGAGGAACTTAGTATTAGTTAATTTACAGATTTTTTTTTTTTTAATTTTAGCAAAAACAGAGATAGGATGTAAGAAAATGAGCAATAGAAAGCTCACCTTGTAAAGAAGCTCTTTTAATAAGATAAGCAGAAAAAATAATCAGAATTTGAAGAGAAAACAACATGTATTAGGTGAAATATTTATTAAGTGTCCTATTTGGGGCTTTACAAAGACTTAAGAATTATAATACCGTGTGCAATACTAAAAAGAATTCATTATCTTAAACATCTTCCATCATTTTATTCAATAAATATGTATTGACTATGATTAATAGAGCAAGTAGCCTGTGTTCGGTTTCAAGTGATTGTTTTTCCCCTTAGTTGTAACGTTTCTGCTCTTTGCTCCAGAATTACTTTAGTTAGATCTGTGTCCATTGACGTATTTAAAAATTTTTAATTTGAGTGCCGTTAGGTTGCATATTCACTCAATCTTGTGTCTGCCGTGGTCTCTGTCATTCCTATGGTCTCTGCCTTATCTCCCTCCCGCCTCCCCAGTTTCACTTATGTGAAACATCTGGCCTCTGGAGGCATATGTAACTCTTTCTAAACCTTTACTTAACAGGCAAAAGGCAGGCATAAAAAGCAAAAGGATAATTCCTGTCTGTTTAACCCATGCCTGCAAAATGCTTACCTTATCCTGTTGTGAGGTATTCCCACAAGGCTTGGATGAGCAAGTCTGAAACTGTTATGATCTTTAAATTGTCTTATGCATGGTGTCTTCTTCTGTTTTTAGTTATAACTTTCTAATTCTTTAAGTGCTACCAAGTGCTACCAAGTCTGTCATTTGCCGTAATATATGATGCATAAAGGACTATATGCTAAATTAAGCCTTAAGCCACAGTGTGGTCGAGAGTAAAGACTTCTAGTTTTGTCTAGTTATTTCTTATACTTTTTGAATAGATACCTATTGGAAAGGATACATTCTTTGGGGACCTTTTAGGGGAGTGGTCTATTAATACAGTAATAGTTTCAATTATATTTAAATGAATGTCCTCAAAATGTATTGGTTAAGCTGTTTACATGGTAATAGAACTTTAAAAAATAAGTCCTGTGTATGATTATATATTTTGAAATTAAAATCTCTGAACCATCCAGGTATTACCCTTTTTAAAATTGTCTTGTCTTCATTCTCTTTCTTGCTCTGCCTTGTTTTCCTTCATAGGACACTTTGCACTTAACGTCTTATGTATGTTTCTTTATTCGTTGTCTGTCTTTTCAGCTGTGTACACCATGAGAGCGGAGACTCATTTTGCTCACTGTTCTGTTTCACTCTTTAGAACAGTGTCTGACACATAATGAAAGAGAGACTGACTAAATATTTGGTATATATGTGCATGAAACCCTTCTCATCCAACCTTAGCATGTTCGCTTCTAGGTACTGCCCTCTCCATTCTATGATCAGTGTTCCTTTAGCTTAATATTTCTAAAGCACTGATCCTGATGTAACTTCCCATCCTCTAAGTACTCCATTGCACATACCTCTGAGCTCCTTTAGGAAAAAGAACTTTGTTGTCCTTCGTTGTGTTGTCTTCATCTGCTTATCTGCTGTAGCTAACAATGTCTGAAGGTACTCAAGAAGTGTTTGTAGAGTGAAGGACTGATATTTTACATATGCAAAGCCAGAAGTCCAGAGGCGATAGGGCACATGTTGATGATTATGCTGCTAGTTGGCAGCCTAGGACCAGATCCCATGTTTTCTGGCTCCCTCAGTCCAGTGCTGTACTACTCATAGGAATGAATTTTGATTTTTAACAGAAAGTCTTTTTGTTTCTTCACTTACAGATATTGATGATGTTATGAAGTACAAACCAGGTTATTTGGAAGCTACACTTAATTGGTTTAGATTATATAAGGTGCCAGAAGGAAAACCAGAAAACCAGTTTGCTTTTGATGGAGAATTCAAAAACAAGGTGAAGATGATAATCTTATTTTAAAATGTCCTTCATGATATTTGTACTTTTTCACTTTGGGGGTTTCTTAAATGAGTATTTGTATATAGCATGATGACAAAGTGCTTTGTAGTGATATTTAAGGGCACTATTTTATCACTTTTATTTTAAAAAGTTTTCAGGAGATCTCAGTGAATCCATAAGGCCATAAATATAAATATATAAATATTT